CCCCCCCCCCCCCCCCCCCCCCCCCCCCCCCCCCCCCCCCCCTTCACACGGAGCACAGAAACGGTGCATTACATCACCGCGGGCATTATCAGGTCTTCTCTGTCTGCTCTCACACATACTAAAATATTAGCTTCCCCAGCCACCCACTGCCAAAACACAAAGGGTGACGTCGATGCGGTCGGTGGTGGCAGAGAGCTTCTGCAGTGCGTACTTGGCCTTTTTTGTTGCCTTGTGAAGCACGCTGCGGGAGAGGGAGGACAGCGAGGGAGGAACTTCGACACCTCCTCGTCCACCGCTCCTTTCCCTCCTGTCAGCCGTCTCTTTGCGCCCACGCATCCCATTTTCTGCTCTGTGGCACAGCAACAGTAACCTGAATGAGTTGCACCCTCATCGTTGGTCTTTGAATGTAATGGTTGTAAGGTATCATGTACAGAGCATCCTTTAGGTTTAGACAAATAGTATGACCAACCAAGGACAGTGCAACAGTGAGACTCACTGATGTGTTTTCAAATAGTTTTTGGACATAAATGGAGCTCTAAATGGCACAGAAGAATAAGATATATCAAGCTTTGATACACACACAATACTTTTTGTTTTGGTCTTTTGATGGGATTTGTTGACAAGAAGACTGGCTGTATCCTTTAATTCACATCTGTATTAAAGGGTGGCTTCATTTTTGTGAATTTCTGTGTATTTTTCAATATCATCAGTTCCCTATCCAAAATGTCTGTCTGATGTCAAGGTAAAGCAGTGAAAATATTCTAAATATAATGTACACTGATAACGGCATTATTGGGGAGGGCATTGGCGTAATTTACAGAAACAATTTGTCAAAACTCAATCACCACGTTGACTAACTTGTGAATCGAACTTTGCACCAAACGCGGGGATAAAACTGTCATGAATCTGGTTGAGTGACTGCTTTCTGCTGTCTCTCTGTCTGTACTCAGCAGAAGCAGAACGTGGAGGTTTGTTATAAAGAATCTGCTTCTCTTGTTTTGTTCTCGCTCCACTTTACTGCTGTTCTGCGCGGCGGGACCACTGCACGTTAAAAACTGATACACAGGAAGTTCATAAATGTCTCTGGGGTTGAGAGGATCTGAGTGCGTTTGTGCACTTGCAAGTACGTGTGTGTTTGTGTGCAGGCATGAGAGGGCCTCGTGCAAGTCTGATGGAGTCATGGCTAATCTATGAAGTCTAAACAGATATCTGAGAACAAGAGGGGAAAAGTCTCTGTTTACTGGCTGCATGCCTTTCTTGTCTCATGACAACAAATCCTGAAGCTGGAAGCACACAGACACACACACACACATCACAGAGCACCTGCATTCAGATGTTTTTCTCAGAACTGTTCCCCCAGAGCAGCAGTTTTTGGCCCTACGGTTCACTCTGAATGAGCTTCTGTCAGTTGATATCACGGTGTAAGTCTCATGTTTTAATTTGGCTGCTTCAGTTGATTATTTCACAATTTGAAACCCTCATTTGGGATTGTTTTTGGGCCTGTTTATGCAATGTATTTCCCCCATTCAAAACAGAAAGGTTTGATGAATAATTAACTGGCTTTCGAAGGGAAACGCATGAAAATGGAGGAGTAACTTTTCATACAAACCGTCGTATGAGGATACGTTGACTAAAGCGGCGGACCAACCGAACCGGCCGATTGATAGTCCTGGAGCCAAGCTGCTAACATGGCTAAAAATCTGTCTTTACCAACTTAAAAGAAAATATAGCCCTGGTTTGAAAAGATTCATGATGTCGACAAACATTTAACAGCATCACTATTACTTTACGTTTAGTTGATGTCTAGTGTTTGCCAATCCCATAGACACTGTCAATCAAGTTGGGAGTGAAAGCTGGTGTCTTAATTTTTGTTGACACAAATTCTTGAATACTCCCTTGGCAAAATTGGTGACTACCTACCTGTTGGCATGTTACATAAAGAAGTCAGTCGGTCAGAGCTCTTCGGTGTCCATGGAGGGCTGTTGAAAAGATGGAGCAGCCCGCTAAGTGTTCTCCGTCTGCAACTGGAGGCCCTCTGTAACGGCACTTCTGTAGAGATGAAGAGAGTTTGCCAGACTGTTTTTGGCTGCTCTCCCTCATTCCAGTGGTTCCTCAGTGCCTATGGGGCATTGGCACGGGGAGAGGGGTGGAGGGAGAGAGGGCTAAAGCTTAGAGCCCGCTTTACAGGGTCAGCCACTGCCCCAGGTGCACATGGGGAACCACTTAGCTGCTCTCTCATTATTCCATATCGCCTTCTATCGCTGTCTCTGAATTTTTCACTTTCTCTCTTTCATCCCTTTCTCTCTCCACGAACCCCCCCGCCCGCCCACCGCCCGCCCGCCCAGGGCTGCTGATCTCATCCCACATGCAATATCATGCACACGGCTCCGTGTGTTTGTGTGTGTGTGTGTAAATGAGTGTTAAGATCATCAGCTACACTGTGGTCTGCACTCACTGTGTCCTAAGCCTCTCTTTGATGCCGGTGTGTTATTCCTGTACGAGACATTATCCCCTGATTCTGAGCACTTGTACTGGCTAACTGTGTTCCCCCATCTGAACTCCAGAACCAGACCTGGTACACTCATCAAGCATCAGTTGTCTTTGGCAGCTGCTGTGACAATACTTTACCTGGTCAAGAGAAGAGAAAGTTATTCTACACTGGCTGTAAATCACAACTATGGGACTTTTTTTGGGAGGCTTTTGGCTCCCAGCGGAGACCATTTTTGAGGCAAACACGCCTTTAGCTTTGGTTGAAAACCGACAGAGAGAGATATTTAACTCTTCAAGTAGGGGACCAGTGTTTTACGATTGTGTCAGCCCAAATTCTCGCACAACGGAGCAAAGCTAAACATGACTGGTGTTGGGACACCGTTGCCCAAAGGCCAGCGAGTGTGCGACTCAGGTGTGACTGAGCTGTGATCTGACCCTGCCCTGCTAATCCCCTTCTGATGAGATGATGACTCGTTTCACGTCAGGTCCAGTCACATCTCAGTTGCCGGTGCACAGCGTGTGTGACTGCCTACAGCCAAGGTGGGACTCCATCAAGACAGGGACAACTGCAGCATCACACTCTTTATCGTCACCGGCTTATACGCCGATGAAACGAGGGTGCAGCCTGACCTTTGGCCTAACCACTAGTGTGAATGGACAAAAAGCTAACCAGGCAGTCACACATCCCTGAGATGGACTTAAGTAAAGGGGTTTATCATAACTTTGAAAAACCTTTCATCAGCGGTTACATATATGGACGGCATTACTTGGCTTTTTATTGCTGTCCATTTACCCGCTATCGCTGCAGAAAGGGAAAGCATCCTCGCAAGTTGTCTGGGAGCTGCTTTTGCGGTGGTATGTCATCTCGGTGAATCCCCTCCTTTTGCTCAATATATCTGCTGTCTCCTCCTGGCTTTTTTTTTCCCCCGCTCTCCGCCTCCCTTCCCACCCTTCCTCCCCGCCGCATATGGGATTCACATTTGGCCGCAATGAGCATTTCCTTAATGTGATATTATGATACATTATCTGAAGCCATTTACTCCCTGTCACCACCCCTCATGTGGACACAAGCTGAGTAAGCCAAGGAGGGGCGGGCAGATTCTGTCCAGGTGAGTAATGGCCTCTTAATTTGACACTGTTCGCAGTGGTGATCATTTACAATGCCTGAAAGGGTATTCAAAATACCAAACTGTGCTTACGTGGGTCTCTCCCTCTCTTTCTCTTTAGGAGCCTGTTGGTGGTGTATAAGTTTTCAACCTCTCCTGCTGCTGGCTGTAAATCGCCGCTGTCGAAGGTGTGTGTGTGTGTGCTGGTGTGAGGGAACAGAAGGTGAGAAATTTGGGGGTCAGCCGAGGTCTTTCAGGTAATTGTGCTTCTTAAACTTTTGACCCACTAAGCCCTACTTAGTGTGGTGCTTGCTCCCCTTATTTCCCCCGAGAGTTTTGACTCTGCATACCAGGACGTGTGTGTGTGTGTGTGTGTGTGTGTGTGTGTGTTTTTTTTTGATACAATGAGTGTCTGAACATATGCGGTCAGCCTCACACAGCTCATGTTATTCTTTGTCACCTATTTTGGCACGGCCCTCATTGTTCTCCCCGCACAGTTTGACTGCCCTTTTGTAATGTAATCAAGCTATAAAGATATATTAGTTTGTCATGTACGAGAAAATACATTAGTTTGTCATGTTGTGCCCTCCCCAACCTGCTCCCCTCTTCTCGTCCGTGTGAGGCACGTTGAAAGAATGCATGCTCAGGCACCAGATGATGTGACTTATTTGTCTGTGTGTTCTTCTTTCCACAACTCAATTAGAGGATTACACACCTTTGACATCAGTTTTTGGTATCACTCATCTCATGTTGGTAACTCAAACTGTTTAGAATAAACCCACCAAAACCTGCAAACATTCCAGAGATGCTGAGAGGGAAGCAAAGCGGCTGACGTAATACATTGCAATAATTTGGCAGCGGCCGTGCGCGGTGCCTCAGATAAAACGTATCGCTCATTGTCTCGGGGTAACAGTGATGCCTCCCTTGTTATTAGCCTCCCATTCATCATGCTTTGTCCCCTCTCTATCTTCGGGGTGTCTGTCTTCACGTTGAGCCATGTGAGAATGACGGATGAGGCCGTTACAGTTTGGGTCTCCTCCGCTACGCTGCTGGGCTCTGTCGCTGTTGTTTTCATCGTTTCCAATCATACAGGCACGGCACCGTCATATAATTGTTTACAGATGAAGACAAATAATCCAAAATGAGATATCCACCGAGTGAGTAGTGTACTAACAGTTGACCCACTGGGTCCTGTATATTTTTGAAAAAGTGAGTGATGAATGCATTGCTTCTTTTTTTTAGTGTTTGAGAAATGACCTGTTCATTTGGGTGTAATTCTGAACATTTGTAAAACTTTCATGATGAGTGAAGTTGAACATGCTGTAGGCTGCTTGCTTTTCTTATGATGATATATTCAACATGTATATAACTGTAACTTGCAGGTGGAGGATATCCCAACGTCACAGTCTCAACTGCATTAAACTACTTAAAGGCACAGGTGCTCCCATCAGGAGACGATTGCTAAGGTGAGTTATTTAACTCCTCTCCTTTTTTTTTTTCTCACTTCCTTCCCCTCACCCACCCCTCCTGCACGCACCCCCACCCCTCATGTCATGGTTGGAGAAAGCGCGTGAAGAGGAAGGCCACGGGGGCCAGTTGTTTTTAAATAAACCAAATCTGCTAACAGTTTTATAACCCTGACCTCGTAAAACTGGCTGCAGCTTTTGGTCAGCTCTCTCCTGATGGGACCAGCAGAGCCGTCCAGGGCTGGAATTCCCATTTGCCGCTGTGGAGCGTGTCGCTACGTCAGCTGGTGTGTGTGTGTGTGTGTGTGTGTGTGTGTGTGAAAGAAAGAGAGTGAGAGAAAGGGCGTATGATATATGAATGCTGTGTCACGATCCACATGTGACGACTGTCCTCACAGGCAGAGCATCCAGGCTGCTCCCTCTTTCTGGTGATTTCCCTGTTGAAGTGAAAGTGAGAGAGTGTGACTGTGGGACGGAAATAAGAGAGAGAGAGAGAGAGAAAGAGAGGAGGTGAGAGAGACAGAGAGAGGGAGGAGAGAATAGCGCTCAGACAATCTGTGTGTGTGAGAGAGGTAGAAACAGGAGGAGAGAGGAGCTGGCTGGGAAACAATAGTTGAACAACAAATCCAGTGTTGCGTGCAGGATCTCAGCCTCTCTCTGGATACTTCTGCTGCCGGGCGCTGAAGGTAAGACCACCGGCCTCGGTGTCACAAGTCAGGATCAGCACATTTACAGCTACAGGAGGATCCTGTCTTACTGTTTTTAATACCCAATTTGCTGAAGATATATTCTATTCTCTAGCTACTTTTTGACAGGCCGTAGAAGAATTCAGAGTAAACTACTTGTGTGGGAAATAATGTGTTGCATGTTCATTTTACATTTATGCATTATTACACAGCAGTACGTGCGTGATACACACAGAGTTTGAGCTTAACTTCTGCTCACTATTCCTCGGCTGCACACATCCCTAAGCTCAGGTGCACATTCCTCTTTTATTGCAGGTTTCTGCTGCTCCGTGTGTGTCCAGAAACTGCAAGTGGTTGTGATTAGGAAACAGCGTGACATGATGTGTAATAGGAGGAAACATGTTTGTGTTGGCGCCGGTGGATTCACTAATCAGGCAGTGACAGCGATGCTGGAAGGATATAGCGGAGCTCGCCGAGCTTGTAGGGAGTGTGTGTGTGAGTGCCGGAGCACGAGGTTAATAGCGGTGTGAATAACTTTGGATATGTATGGATATGTGTTTTACAGGTGCGTGCGTTTATGTCCGTGAGTTTATGATTAACTTGGCCTGTTCTGGTGGACCCTGAGGCTGCTGGCTTATGCTAGAAGGAGATGATGACAGATATAATAGGCTCTGTGGTAGGTAGGAGGAGGAGGAGGAGGAGACGAGCTACCACTTCCATCTAACTGAGAAGGAAAGGCGTGTGTGTGTGTGAGAAAGAGAGCAGGAGAGAAGGTGTTTAAATGAAAAATGAAGTGGCTGCAAAAGAGTGGGGGATAATGAGAAGGGGGAAGAGAAGGATGTCCAAGTGGGAGGAAGAAAATACATCTGAGAAAGAGACGGGAACAGTGAACCCTTCGGAGGACAGGCAGTGCCAGAGAAGGACACAATAAATAGGAGAAACAGAATGAAACTGAGATGTGTGAGAGGGGGAGGAAAGGGGGAGAGAGAGGTGAGAGTAACAGAGTCTGACACAATAGGAAGAAAAAGAAAAGGAGATCGAGACTGTGATGCAAACATCACCTCCAGACATCCATCTCCACTTCCAGTGACACCAGATGAAAAACAGTTTTGCCCAGCGTGAAAAATGTTTTTTCACGTGCGCCGATTGAGTCTGCATCCTCCGCTCGAACCAAAAGTCAAGTTCGGAGAGAGAGAGAGAGAGGAAGGTGAAGAAGTGGAGTGGGAGGTGTGTTTGAAACATCGCACGTTCAGCCAGGTGCGGATAGACAGCAATGCTCTGGCAGAGCAGTGCGTGGTTGTTTTTGTGTCTCTGCTCTCATGTTTCATATTCTCACACATGCAAACACACACACACACACACACACACACACACACACACACACACACACACACAGGGGCCCATTGTGAGTGTGTTTATTTGGACAGTGTTGAAGCTTTCGATAGGCAGTTCACAATGTCTCACCGCCGCAGGAATGTGCTTCTGACAAATGGATGCTCTGCACGAACCGCGGGCCATCGAGAAGATCCTTAACGCCGCCTTGCCAGACGAGCATGTGACAGATCTCTGCTGCCCGCGGAAACCTGCAGTCCAACGCGATAAAACAAACACGCCCACGACACCTTCGTTCGCTCTTTTTTCGAGAGCGCCTTAGGCTTGCGGTTGAATGGAGGAGGATTGATCCAGTTCCGTGCACTAGTTTTAGCCTGCAGCTCGCCGGTTCCCACTGTTGTCTTTTTTCTGACGAGGATGGAGAAAACAGAGGCGGCCAATTTAGGATTTAAAGTGCATGTGTGACCCAGCAAGTTTTAGGGGGTTCCTGTTACTACTAAAGCACATGTAACACACACTGAACATGAGTCAGAAAGAAATAGAAATCTGAGAATATTCATACATATTTGTCATCTGTGTCTTCCCGCTCCGCTGTTTCTGAGAAGCCGAAATTGTAAAGCTGACACAAGCTTAGCTGCGGCTCACATGGCTGCCTGTCATTGGCTGTACACTGCGCTCAAATCCACACTGTTTGTCTTATCTTTACTGGGGGGGATATATTTAGTGGGGAGCTTAGCTTTTAGGAGGATGGCGCGTGGGGAGGGTGAGAGAGAGAGAGAGAGAGAGAGAGAGAGAGAGAGAGAGAGAGAGAGAGAGAGAGAGAGAGAGGAAAGAGTAAGTTTGTGTGTGCGTTTCAGGAGCTGGCGTCAGTAGACAGTGGAAGAGATTGGCACTCTGCATGCCAAACTGTGTGTGTGTGTGTGTGTGTGTGTGTGTGTACTGTATATGTGTGTGTGGCTGGAGGACAGGTCTGTGGGTCTGCCCCCCCCCCCCTACACACACACACACACACACACACACACACACTGCGGTCAGGAATCTGCCCTTTAGTTTATTAAAAGCTGGTGAAACAATGGAGGGTGGTGAGGTTGAGGAGGAGGGGAGCCACGGCGAAGCACTGGAGCAAATCAGAAAGGAGTGTGATGATGTAGTTAGAAAGATGAAGAGAGGGAGGGGTAGAGATAGAGAAAGGTATTCATGATGGCTCAAAACATTATACTCCCCCCCTTCCGTACCTGTCATTCCCCCTTAATTCCCCCCTCCTCTGGTGTCCTTTGATGCACCTGTTTTCTGGGGGGGCTCTACAACAGCCCGCTGCCACCGCAGACAGACCCGTGTCTGGACAACAACTGTGTACTCAGCTGCCGGCTGGCCCGGGGTGATAAAGTGCAGGATCCCTCTGAAGATTGGGCTCCTCTGCCACGGCCCATGTGCCATCACACACCAGCATCCCAGCAATGTTTAGAGCCCAAGAGCGGCAGCACCAACGGACACACACACACACAGACCCCCGTGTGATGTATCTGCATATACGTGTGCATGTCTGAGAACAGAAACCCACAAGTGAGGTGGGCAGGGGATATTTATACATGCACCCTACTGCTAAGAACAAAACGTGGTGACGCGCATTGAGAAATTCTGTTCTGCATAGCATATGGCTGGAACAGTTGGGAGGCTTCATGGTGTCACTTCTCATAACAGACTCTGGGATGATGTCATTGTTTCACTTTTACCTCTTGAACAAAAGTCCTCATTATGACTTCTTTCTGCACCTCGGCTCTTTTGTGCATTGCTTCAGTGTGCTATTTCCATCGTTGTACTGTTCAAAAAAAGAAAAGACATTTCTTGCATTTTAACAGCTTGAAAAAATTAATGTTTGTGGTTAACTAAAATAAATAAAAAATGTATTTGTTATCACAATAATTGCCAATTAATTTCCTGTTGATGGACATACATATATTGATGAATTGACTTATTATATCAGCGCTCAGAGCAACAAATATTTATTAAACGTCTTTCTGACGTTCCACTTTCACAGCGGTGGAAGAAGTATTCAGATCCTTTCCTGAAGTAAATGTAGCAATACAACAATTTAAAAAAAAACATTCCAGCTTTCAAAATGTTATTCGGATGAAAGTACAGAAGTATTATCAGCAGAAAATACTTAAAGCATCAAAAGAAAAAGTAGGTATTATGCACTAGAATACCCCTTGACGGTGTTGTTTAATTAGGTGTCATATTATATTTAAATCGTTATTTATTGCATCAAATATTAATCTGCAAAGTAACTAATAATTATTGCTTTCCAGTAATTGTAGTGGAATGAAATACAATATTTCCCTCTGAGGTGTGTGTGTGTGTGTGTGTGTGTGTGTGTGTGTGTGTGAGAGGAATCTTTCCCACCGTAGCCTCTAAGAGAGACATCGCAATATCTGCACTCCTTAAGCTTGGAATCATCATAAGTCCCAAAGTCCTAAAGCTCCAAACCGGAGGGACTGTGGTATGTAAGGAGGGATTGTATTGTGGTTGTGCGGTTTTGGCTCCCCAGATATTCTGAACCCAGACTGGATCTTTTTTGCAGATACTGCAGGCCTTTCTTAAATGACCCGCCCCTTGGCGACGCTGCCAAAGCTGTTTCTACAAAAACGAAGTTGAATTTACTAAATTTGATTTGCCCTATAACATATGATATGTCTTTTAATAATATGCAGTAGATGCAGACGTAGCGACAGGTCTCCACACTTAATATGTGTGTAGTTACATATAATGCATGATGTTTAATAATTTCATCCGCCCCGTGGGCCTCCAGCTTTGGCGCTCTAATTAGTTTTTGAGGAACTCAAAACTCTGGTTTTTGGGCCGTTGGGCCAAATTAATTAAGTTGACAATGATGTCTTATTGCCCGCTTAAGCTTCAGTCTTTTAGCATGTCATCACGTACAGTATATGGCTATTAAGTGCATATTTAAGTCAACTGGAGACG